GGGGGGGGGGGGGGGGGGGGGGGGGGGGGGGGGGGGGGGGCTGAAAACAAACAACCTCCACAAAGTCGAGTTTTCACAAAACGGGCTTTCTCTACTGATAATACCGCATCAATCCTACTGAAATCTTAGTTCCTACATAACTCTCCGATGAGGAACGTTCCAAAGAGCATTCTAGTGGAATCAAAGAAATCTACTCGTCATGACTTGAACTATGCAGTGAGAAGTCGATGACAGCGATGACAGAGAAATTCACTATATCGATGGCTGGCTTGAGTACAACCTTACACAACCTAAACAATGATACGATAACTCACGTGTGGTTCGGATCGGATAGAGACATTGCGTAGAGCAGCCAACGCGACAGCATCGTTTCATACCAACACAGTCGTTGTCGGATGCACATGAAGACGTACAGTTAGTGAATTTCTCGACCAAAGACCGCTCAACTGATGAAGGACAGTCGGCTACGAGAGAAGAAAGCACACCTTAATTGTCATCATAAAGGAAGAAATAGTGGGTGATCACTGAGTTCTCATTGTTCAGAAACAGCTTCTGCTAATTAAACGAGTGCTAGAAGTGTTAAACGTTCCTTCCCTATTTGTGTTTTGAGGACGACATAGATAAAGTCCGATGAGCAAACAAAATAAATTGTCAAAAGTACTTCTGCAATGAAACTTTCAAGACTACCCGTTAATTTTTGATGGATGGATTCATCGCTATGTCTTGCAAACTGAGGAAACCTAACGAAACTACTGATAGGCTTTTACTGACTGCTCGGCTCACCTTTGTTATGTGTTGCCACATCGCCAGGTTGGAAATGGTGGTTACGTCTTTGCGTGACGATCACTCGGTGCATTTTGGGTGCTTCCAGCGGTGAACAGCTCAGACCGCAACCATCGAAACAGCATTTACCTTGAAACAGAAGAAGTTGTCTAATGACTGGATCCTGATTATTACAGGGAGCTAGTAAGGCAAGCTCGAGATGATAAACTCCCAAATAGGCCAAATTGATAGCGACTACCAATGAGCGGAAAAGTCAGTACACCATCCTTCGAGAAAATGCTTGTTGCCTCATTTTTCGGAATTATTCTTACGTCATACTTTCTGCTAAGAAACAGACTAGAATGCAGAGCATCTGATCGTTACTAGAATCAAATCAACTGAATTCTCGGGAGTTCTTTATCCTTGGTTGAAGGCACAGTTCACGATTAAGATGGTTCCTGAATTCGAGGTCCCCCCCCCCCCTATAGCACACCTCGTGTGAATGCCAGTTTCGGGCAATTTCTGCTTGATGTAGTCATCTCTTTGAGCAATGGGAGCAAATTAAATCTTGTGCAAACACCCCCTACATGCCATTACCGTCACGGTGATCTCGTACAACCTTCCCTCCCACTACTTTTAAAAACCTTGAAGTAGGCGAATTTGCCCCCCCCCCTTTTTTTCGCTAGCGAGGCTAGTTCTCCACACAAACATTTCCGCTTTTAAACTTAAAAAGGGTACCTCAAAATCATCGCGAACTGTGCATTGAATTGATGGTCCATTTGAAGAATGGAGAAAACTATTGATAATGCTAGAGAATAAATCCTACCGTTAACACAGTCGCGGTCGGTACTGCATTTCGACGAGCATCTAGAGCTTTTCAGAGGTGTCACTGCAGGACACGAATCTTCACCACGTGTGGTATCTTTCGTATTTTCCATCCCAACACAACAAAAGCCGAGACCGTTGTAGCCTACCTGAACACGTATTCATCAATTTTTAAGTATATTTAGACATTAGCATAGACTCTATTCTGAAGGGTTAAAAGCTGACAACGGCCCAGATGCTCAATATGGACCTCATTACTATTGGGACCACATCTGGTACCAATAACGAACCAATAAAACAACCTCCAATGTTGTTTATAACGAAAGATCAAGTCAAAAACAACCTCCAATGATAAAAGCGACTCCCTTATCCCTAGTGGGAGGGAACCGTGCAATCATGGCCGATCCCTTTTTTCTATTGAACTTACGACTGCACTAGAAAGCAAGTCTAGCTTAGAAAGTGATATGGGAGGACTCATCATCTGAGCCTACGTTTTTCCGCTTATAGCCAATATTCGCCGCCTAAACAAGCCCCAAAGTTTCAGCTAGATTGGATCTCATTTGTTTGGATGGCTCACCAAGCCCTGTAGACTCATCAGGTTTCTTTACTTCTCCAAGTAATCCAATCATCAGCTTTTTTTCGAGATTGTCTCTATAGTGACCCCATGTAGTTTCTTGGGCCATATAACCTTCAAGTTTTGCTTTCGATCCGCTCCCTAGGCTTCCCAGCTCCATATACGTTCTTAGCGAATCCCTACAAGTCTTAATTGTTTTCAACTATGAGCGAATATTTAAATCCATCTGACGGCTACCGGTTGACGAGCGCATCCCTTAGAGTTCGCAGTCAGGTGGCCATGGACGTTGGACACACATAATTTCGTAGTGCAGACCGGACCGACAGTCACCGCTGCCAATTACCGTAGTAATTGCCGCGCTCGCTGCGCATGGAAACATACGCAACAACACAGAAAAACTTCACGTCAGACGGCTTTTTTGGTGGTGTACCAAGAGGGCTTTGAGCGCCCCATAAGGGACATGCCGCCAAACGAAAATTTTAGCAAAACCGGTTAAGTACCGTAACCAGGTTGAGGAGGATTCTTTTCAACTTGGATGAGTCAGTAGTCAAATGTAGTCAATAGCCTCAAAAGGAGTATTTCCTAACTTCTCCACCTTGCGATGCCTCTTTTTGCTTGAAAGACGGTACCCCATGNCCCCCCCCCCCCCCCCCCTACATGCCAGAGTGCCCATCACCTCATTACGGTACATTGGGAAAGGAATCAAACTACAAAAGAGCTACATCTTTCCTACTGAGCCATTCTATGGAGTATGTTAATGCAAATCGAATGAACCTTATGACACCAATGGTTGGGACTACACTGATCGGAGGTGGCGCACAGAGCTGTCACACCATTCTGTAGAGTCATAGGTTGGCCGGCAGGACATGGATTCAGCAGACCTGAAATAGCCATTACTGTAAGAATTGCGTGTACTACACATCACGAGGTTAAATTATAAGCCCGCAAAGCATAGTTTCAACTAAAAAATGATAATGAGGTAGTAGGTTCTTACATCTTGGTACGGGAAGGCAAGGCGGTTGTGCACAGTCCGGTTCGATCAACTGACAAGTATCAGCATTATTTGGACAACTGGAATAAATTCTCGGTCATAGATCAGACAGTACACAGCAAGTGAAAAGTTTAAACAAACAAATAAAAAATTGAAATTATTATGGTAAGCCAATTAAAAACAAAAGTCAGAAAAACATTGTCTAATCTCAAAAAATGCGAACCAAAATTTTTAAGTCAAAGGCAAATTACTTGATGATAAAAAGTAATGCCTACCAATAGGCAGGATGGTTTGGAGGAATGAAAAAAGTGTATGTTCATATCTGCATTATTCTAGAGCGATTCAAAACCACGTTCCGGACCGAATGGTACGAAGACTAACCGTATACCCTCACACAGATCCCGACATGCACAGGTAGGATCCGGACATCCGAAGACAGTCATTTTCAGGCCATGTGGACAGTGATTGGAACATTTCACGCCACAGAGTCGTAAATCTGAAAGCATCATTTACAAGTTTACATTGATGCCTTGAACGATGTTTGTTCGTTTGCTCCTAAACATCTAAAAAACAGCCAGTTTGGTCACGAATTTCGAAAGGAGTACACGACCTTTGAATGGGAGATTATCATGGATTTTTCAACAAGTATAGACTACTAGCTGAAGAAATTTCCGGTTCAGCATACAATTTACTGAAAAATCCAATATCTTCCCATATATTTAAAAAATTACTTTGGAAAAAATCACCAGCAAGAAATAAAAACAAGTGCTCACATTTCCATTAACATCTAGCTTTGAATCGTTTATGAATTAAAAAGGAAAAGATCGAGACTTATACAGAGAGGCCAACAAAGAGATAGAGAGAAAGAAGACAGACGGACAGAAAGACAGACAGACAGACAGACAGACAGACAGACAGACAGACAGACAGACAGACAGACAGACAGGCGGATAGATGGACAGACAGGGACAACCAGAGTAAGGAAACAGACACAAAGGAGAAAAGACAGGTAGGCAAAGTAAGATAGACAAAGTGACAGTTGATTGTATGAACTAACAGCAAATAATGGAAATTCACTGCGAACTTACACATACTTCCAGTGATGAACGAATGATGGGGGTTTTCAAGCATTTTGATCCCTCCTATGCAACATTGACCTCTCGAAAAGTTTGCTGTTGAGGAAAAAATGAGTGTATGACTGTTAGTTCTCCGAGCTTTCATGAGTGTTCCAGCTATGTAAGATGGAGGAGTTGATTTCCTCCCATCTGAGCGCTTGTTATCCCTTCGCCAGCGTTCGCAACACTACTCTCTTCCGCTGTTTGCATGTGTGTGAACGGCGCTCGAGCGACTAGGTGCCATAATACGATGAGCTTTGTCGAAGAGAGGCGTTCGACAAACAAACCAGAAGAAGACGACATAGTAGCTCCAGCATATACCATATTTCAGTTGTGCTGAGTGAAATTGGCAATCAACTGCTCCCACGAGTCCAATCAACCAAATACGTCCTTAAGCGGCATTTCGACTCTAAGTTAAAGGTCGATAGATACCGCACCTTATGCAGAACATAGTATAATTGTATTAGTACACTGTATACTTCCGAAGCGAAAGGTGTAGCGAATGTTGGAAATGACCTTCAAAGCTCATGTCAGTGTCACATTCCGAATAAGAGTTGCATCGATGCCAAAGTAATGCACCATCGTCAAACTCGCCGAGAAAACCTCAGAGATAGCCTCGAAAATGGCTATGTCTTTCAAACAAAAGCTTTTCCCAATTTTTGAAGTCAAAATATTTAACCACTTTTTTGTGTTTTTGGTTAAAACGCATTTTAAGTGATGGGAAACTCCATTGCAGCCCAGCTTACTACCAGATAGCTCTATAAAGAAGGAAACCTATTTCATCTCATCATTTCTTAGAAAGTCACTAGAGATGCCAAATATGTCCAGCACCCCACGGTGAAAATGTGCGGCTCGTATATAAGCTCAGCAAAAGCAAAAGAACATTGAAATGTGCATCGACTGGCGCCTACTACCCTTAATCCAGGTAGAGATCCATGCAAATAACACTGCAGTAAGCTCATTCATGAAGCATTCAAAAAAGGATTGGCCATCCTATAACAAGGAAACTGATCGATCCATTCCTCTACCTTAACCAGTGGCTGACATAGACCTCTGATTTGCCCTCTGACAAACTGTCAAGACCGAGCCGCCGTTCTCGGTATGCTGTGATAGAGCAAACACAAGCGGTTCGTTAAAAGGATCACAAAGGTATAGATATCATCCATACAGCAAATAGCCAGGGCGATGAATAATGAGCAGCAATCAAAGCTCATAATGATAGTCTATTTAGTTTTGTATTTATGGTAATGATCGGTAAACGTGCTGCAAACAATGATATAGTCTCGATATCTGGCTTGATCCTGGTCCAAAGCCTACCTTCTTGATTCAAACTACCAAAGATTCGCTATGATTAGGCAATTTTCGCTCCAGTTAAGGGCTACTGTAGCGCAATAACTTTTCCCATTGATATACATACGGCAACTCCCCAGGCCTAGTAGGCCTCCTGTACTGGAATGATAGTGTAGCTATCATCAGATGCACCAGGAAGGAACGATAAACTCAATTCCGAGCGGTTTGGAGTCGGGAGTGACAAGTTGGTATGGGAAGCAGATCCCAGGATGGCCTCCACTGAGCGCTCTGTATGGGATTTTTGATTGTTACGAAGAAGCATAAAGACCGAAAACAGCAGTAAACTTTCACTGGGTTATAATCCCTCTGATTATAAGATGAGTAGCCCGTTTGCGCTGATGGAAGCCATCTCGGAGCCAAGTGGGGCTGCCGACCACAATTGACCTCTGAGTAGAACAAGTGTAAATAACCAAAAGAGCACTTCACGTCACAGATAAAATGCGGCTACACAGATAATCTCCCGATTCACATTCTCCATTCTGAGATGGTCGATTTTTATTCGGAAGCAGCAGCAATAATCAGGGCCAAGCAATCAACGCACCTCGACACATGTCACCCCTTTTCATCGCCACCAACACAGCAGAGCCGGTGATTTCCGTGCCATAGTTCACGTCAACGCACCAGCACTGTAGCTGATCACATTGGATTGGAGCGAACTGAAATGAATGAACAGAGGTTCAGTAAGGACACAGAAAACTTGCGATTTTTGCTGAGAGCCGAAAGCTCGGCGCACCTCGAAAAGTTTGGTTGATATGGGAGTAGAAATTATTCGGAAGAGATTTGGATTACGAAGAATTGACGGGCTTGTAGATTTACAAGTGACGCGTGTGGACGGTCATTTCTACATCTTAATTTTCCAGACAAGCTTGATACATTTTGATTAGGCTGTGTAAAGGCGGTAACCTCGCTGACCATAATCAGACTCACTCCGTCAAAGCTCTCGTAGCGATGCCCACATTCGTATCTATCAACATCGAATTTCTGATCTCAAATCTTTGCATAGGCTACATACCCAGTCAAACGTACATAGTCCAATGCAGAATAATATTTATGAGGAATTAAAGTGTGATGGGATAGGTAGCGCAGTAATTGAATGTCTCGTGGTACAATAACGCGAGTTTCATGACAAAATGGGAACAACTACTTGCCTTCGATGAGAACATTAGGTTCCTTTTATCTCGGATTTAACATTTGCTATATAAAAACAAGTTAATTTTATGTAAACTATTCATGTAAGAAATGTATACCTTGCCATTTTCATCACACTTGGGAAGATAGTTGTTAGAAAGCCTTTGAGTGGGGAGCTTCTTGACAGATACAACAAGATGAATGCAATCTGTAATTCAGCACATACTTAGAAAAATTTTCTTTGAAAATAGTTACAACTTTATTTAACGACCATCTGCAACTTTAATGTGATCGAATATGAGGCGGCTCGGCGAGAAAAACCCGTTCATTGTGAATCGCGCGTAAAATCGATAGCAGTTTTTCAACATAGTACGGTGTGCAGTTGGATTCACAAAAACTATCCCATCTTCCATCGTAATGCACGCGTAAAATCAATATTGGCTTTTTAGTAAAGATGCTTAGCTTGTCTGGAGGGGCCACTCGAATCCTACAGAACAATTCAAAGTAACCGATCGCATAGAAAACTAAACTTCAAAGTTGACATTAGAAAAAATTAGTTATAAAGTACTTACTTGTTGCCTTGGTTGGATCAACACACACTGATCCACAGGCATTTTTGCAACATTTTTCTACATCAGGGCATTGCATATCGTCGGTGCATTTTGTATAGGCTTCAATTCGAAATGATTATTTAATTCTAATGTAAACCAAGCAAAACAAAAAAAAATCGTAAGGTTCACAACTGACTGCTACATGGCTCCTCATCTCCGGCTGGTGGACAAGAACCTAGTTTCTCTCTTTTCAATAGGGTTGTGTTCACCTGCTGGACAGGAGATTTGTCTAAAAAGGCCAAATCGCTACAATGTAACCTCAGCTATAAATTTCCATAAACTACAACCAATTTTTAAAAAAAATCCATGACGAACCCATGTGGAAAGCCACAGGACTGATTGTTGTGTTGATAGCTGGTATTATAACTTTAGAGCCATGAAAAATTGGATGAAGTTCTCCGACGGCAGTGATCAGATTATGGAATGGCTTGGCTTAAAACGATCAGCATTATACTCCAGAGGCACACGAAAAGCACAAAGCAAGCTATACCGCCCCCTCTCTCAATGAAGAAAACGAGATAGAGACGAGAAAGTTACTGACCATCTACAGGTCGAACGGGTTCGATCTCACTGCGGAACGGTTCAGTTCTCAATGATGACGTACACTCGCGACCGCATCCGTTAGAGCAGCAAATTTGCTTTTCTATAAATATTGCCGGATCAATGGATTACTTTTCTGACAACTCCGATACTAATCGAACCTAAAAGCTTAAATTCTGATTTTAGTAGTTAAGCTGAAAGGAACTCCGTAAGACATTCTTTTACATGGCGCATCTCTTAGAGGAAGTTCTTCATTCCATAATTTCTCTGTCAAAAAGAAATGCAAGGAGACAAAGCAACAGCTCGATATAATTATAACAATAATAATTAGATAGGTAATGTTTACAAAGAAGTATCACACATAAGAATTATATAACCTGAAGTGGCTCAGAAATTTAATTAGCTCATGTATAATTGGGTGAATTATGGGCGGTGGAGTAGTAACAAGTGGTGCACTACCAAAAACGCATAGTCCAGTGATCGGACCTCCGATCGAGATTCGATCATGCCAACCAAGTTTTCCATTCCACTATAGTTTCTAAATTGGTTCCAGTTTCGCCTGGACGGATAGAAACCCTATCTTGTTTACTGGCTGCCACCTCAAATCATTGTATAAGCCAAATACGCATTCAAAGCGGCGCTACAATTCTGAGTGGAAGTCGAATGTCGGGGCGCATATCAAAGACGGGATTTGCTCCATGCCCAATAGCTTGTCCCTAGACCTTTACACCTAAATTTAGTTATATCACTTGGAGTCAATAAAATATATTTAAAAAAAGATTGTTGATAAAATATCTGAATTGCAGCTGATAAACATCACTCGGTTTTTTCGTGTTGCATTTCGCTTTCAAATTGAAAACAGGAAATCGACCGAGCAGGAATGGGGGAGGCGAAAAAACTACACCTTCCCCACAAATATAAACTATGGGTTCTCAGGGTTCATGATCTTTGATGGGAATTTATAGATGGGAATTTTTTTAACATTCTCTTCGGTTTCTGTACCTTCTCAAACAAACAGAGTTAACAGGGGAATGAGTCCATATTATTTAATTTTACAAAAGTTCCGCCAGGCGTAAGTAGGTCAGCGACAGACGCCAATCAGCGGACCATGGCTGTGGTACCAGGTGGCGCCACAGTCACATCAAATGGTTTGTAGGTACAACTGGGTTAGGGCGCCAGTCCCCAGCCCGATCATGCTTACAAATTATTTGACGTCGGTCCCGGGAGAGGGAAAATCTATGAACGAACCCATATGGAAAGCCACAGTCTACTGATAGTCAGGCCAGGAATCTATTGAATAAACCAACGACTTTAAAATGCAGCTACGAAGGGAAGTAAATGGAGGATAAATGAATGGCGTATACTGAGAAGAATGTTTGCAGCTAAATTCCCTCGTTTTCAGTATTATACGTCAAGAAACCCGCAGTTTGATAGATGTGGACTGAATTATTGTCTCAAAATTTATTTTCTGAACAGCACGGGGGTGAATGACGCTTTAACTTTGCTTTCCCAGGATGCGTCGTTATTGTGGCTTTTATTACGGTAACACGATTTGGATGAGAGTACACCTCAAAGATTAACGTCAGCAGTAAACTACGTCAGAAAGTATTTTATTGCATGAACTCAGAGGAAGCTGAATCATTTGAACCATTTCCACTTCCACTCCCCCTCGAAACAAACCACATTTGAACCAATGGAATTATGAAGTGAAGACAATATTCAGTCGGTCATCAGATTTTTTCTCCTCTTCATCAGGCTTCACAAATCTCACTCATGACCATGTAGGCTGCTTCACGTGGAGAATGAAAGAAATACTAAAACAAAGAACATTCGTATAATCCTTACCAGCGCAATCGCTATCCCTTTGGCATTGCAGGGTGCAAGTTCCACGATTCACTCGTGGACAGTCAGGCCGAGACGAGTCTGAACACCGTGTATAAAGATGGACATTCATAAAATAATCAATAATAATAAACTTCAAAATTTGGGAAATGAAAATAGTTTTGATTTGTGAGCCTTGCTCGAAAAAATTCAACTATCACATCTTATCACTGAGAAGTTCGCCTGAACTGGTCATCAACTAGAGGGGAAAATTTATAGATTACCAGTCTCGAGAGTGTAGGTATCACAGCTGAATCCTTTCTGGGTCCATGCATTCGGCCATTCTCTTGGAATCGAACTAGCTTTTGAATTGGCGTACGGACGTTCATCTACGCTGACGAGTAAAGCAAAGCAAAACTTGCTAAGGATTGATCAGACGTGTGCTGGGTGCTCTTTTCACCGCCTTATCCCGTCAGCAGCAGGGCACTCGATCGACCAGGTCCACCCTTACCATGTTCTTGCGAAGTATGAAAGTTCATTGTCGGTACCGTCTCCTCCAGAGCATTCAGAGTATCGCCATGATTCACTAGACAATTTCAATGGCCAGCATGCTAATTATCGCTCGTCGAAGTGCGAAAAGAGCGGCGATCGATGGACCGCCAAATTGGCGCAGTGTCGTTAATCCCATACGGAACATATATCGTCTACTATTTGAAAATCATGAAACTGTTGGGAGATCCAATCCACTTTCGCCCAATCATTAATGCTGGTGAGATTGGGAGGCGAGCACCGACAAGTGACCTCAATCCCAAAGTTTTTCTCAAGGGTTCAACAACCATTATGGTTCAATTGACGCAACCAAATCTTCCATTGTCTCAAGCCGGAATCGAAATGGGTAGAAAGATAAAACTGGATGTTATAGCGGTTACATACATATGTACAAATATGAAGGCGTCTGTATATCTGCCTAGATAACCGAGTATTTTCTTACTCTCGAGAACAAGCACAATAACCTCGGAAATATTTATCCACTCGGCTTAGTCCTTCGTGGATATATATATTTTCGAGGTTACTGTGCTTGTTCTTGAGAGTAAGAAAAAACACAGTTGAGCAACCCATTTTAGCTGTCCGATTATAGGTCAAGTTCATATATAAGGGCTTTCAAGATTCGTAGCGGAAGCTAGATGCATGGCGTATCCTGGGTGCATTAATCACGCTTCTGCATGCACTATCAATCTGCGAACAAATTGACTGATCAAATGAAAGGCGACTTTTTTGTAGTTGCCTAAAAGGGCATTGTTCCACTGAACATAGTCTGTCGAGAAATCAAAAGAAGAATGTCGCACATCGGTCGCAGGATCTACCAGCTCTCCCCATCAGCAGCCATGGTGGATAGCAGCCAAAGGATAAAAGTGGTAACGTTCTCTTTATCACCTTTACGACACTGGAGACGGGATTCACAAAAACTATTATAGGCGCCGGCTCGGCTCTTTTATTATATTCTTGAAATTTAGATAGAAAAGAATATGAAAAAACCATAAGATAAATAAGATGGAAAAACAAACTTAATAATAAAAAATGATTGAGAAGGCATGAAAATGGAAGGAGAATACATGTGTGTGATCCTCACCAATGTTCTGTATACATCTGGCCACACCGTTCAGGGTAACACAGTGCTCCCCCACAGCACAAAGCTTTGCCTAAAATGGCATTAGTGTTTTAAGCGTATTTTATACGTTACGGTATCTTACAGTATCAGAGATACATAAGTGGGGCTATGAAGAAGTACCTGGCATGGATCCGTAGCACAAGCACATACACAGGAACCTGTACTACCCCTTTGATAGCCGACTGTACAGATTAAATTACACTGCGGAGGTCGCAGAAGGCATGAATCTTCTATGAATGGTGGGATACCGCCGGAAGCCCATCCAGTGAAGGTGGACAATATCAGGAGAATCATAGTTAGTGTAAGTGACATGAACAGCGATGTGCAGGCATCTGGGGACTTAAGAGCCAATATGGGAAGTCGGTAAAGTCTGAAGTACAGTGAATACAAGTGCCGATTTGAGTTTCAACGTGTATCCTTGACAGAGAGGTAGCACTCGGCAAAGGAGGGGCTATTTACCGGAGGAGGCGGTGACTACCGATTTGGGCGTGGTCAAGTGTAGGGTGTCGGCGATTCGGTATGTCCAACGCAAACAACCGTAGCCGTTTACGACAGATTATGGAATAGCGGACTAAGCAGTATATGTTCATGAAAAAAGGAAAAACTATGGAGATCCGCGCTGTAGCGTTTTGTTCGTACAACAGCCACGCTTGCGCTTACAGTCCTACGTCTAGGTGAGTGCCAGCTTGTGCATTATCACGCCTGCACCGGAATCGAGACGCGCCTGGGCCAACCAAACCTTCCACAACTCTGGTCTCAAATATACAGTATCAGGCTCGCCTGGGAGAAAGGAGCATGCAGAAGGATAGAGACTGGCTCAAACATTGGCTCCGGGCGATGCTGAATAAATTCGACTGAGTGGCGCATCTCCGGTCAGAACAGCACTTTGAAAACGTTCCCAATTTGTTCTTTGACTTCGAATGAATTGAATTCAAGAATTTCAAAACAAAAAACGTAACTCATATTTCACTCATATGATAAACCGATCACTAATCTCAAAGGCCTCATAACAAGGTGAAGCACTGCCAAACGGAGTATGCCTACGCGTCGTGTCGCTGACAGCGATTGATCACTCACTTCATTAACGACCCACTTCGTTCATGAGGTGTCACATGAGGATTTTGGTCTATTCTACTACTAGTTCGATAAGAGTTGGAGAGAGAACGACAGTAATCAATTTACAGATTTTTACAGAAACCATAATTCAGCAATGAGCTCCTTGAACTGAGAACAACTGATACAGTTCAATGAATATAATAGGTTTTCTGAAGTGGAGTATGTACTGTTATTACATAGAAACCAATGAAAGCTTCTCTAAAACCCGGGGAAATGGGGATAGTGGCAGAACCTGCCAGATCCTTTCCATACAACCTTACACTGTAGCGTTCAAAAGTACTCGGCCAAGTAGTTTTTCAGCCGTCACTTTTTTCTTAGTGGAGCAAATCGCATGAAATTTTGAAATGTTCAACTGAAACATATTTCACACTATCCAACATTATTTGATTGCGAAGCAGCAATGTCCACATAACTAAGAGGAAGACGTTTGTAGACAATGCTGAAAGCAAGTTTGTGACGTTTGCAGTTATTCGCACCTTATGTGCCTTTTTCTCCTCTACTGTGTTCCGCATTAGCGTTCTGGACTTTGGACATGGCAAAAAAAAAGAAGTTCTAGAAATTCCAGTGTCCCTAATTCTACCTGGTTTTGGTTTCAAGCTCTTCGGGATATTTGGAACATGATCAGATCAAGGTTAATAGTGGTAAATAATCACAATACAACAATGCTACACAAATTGAAATTTCGCATGATTAGAGCAGTAGGAAAGAAATAACTACCGAAATTACGACTGAAGAAGCATTTGGCCGAATACTTTTGAGCGCTACTGTATGTTGATAGATGGATAGCTAGCGAACACAGGGGGGCGCGCGATTCACGCGTGACCCCATTAGAGCTCTTTGCGCACGCAGCATTGTTTCAGTACTTTTCTGTTGAGATGGACCAATTAAATTTGCAGGAGTCCACGGCTTCACCATGAGTTAGAGAAATATCTTTACTACGGCAATGAAGCCCCTTCGTGATTAGGAATTCACACCATAGTTCGTCAATTTACTTGTCAAACGTTCAAAATAAGAAAAACTTCAAATTTTTTGATCCTTGAGAATGCAATCCTTCTGTAAACGTGCATAGGTGGTCATTTCTTTACTTATTCTACCTATAAGTTCTTATTTCCTCCATTATGATGGTAGGCATGATGTTTTAGCGTGTTTTGTTCGATGACCTAATTATATTGGCGCGTGAATCGAACCACACCCAGCGAACACAAGGCTAGGACTAGCGAATGGAGAAAAGGAGGAAAATTAACAGCAAAAACTTTTCAGGAACACAAAACGAGACGATACTGAGGTTTCAGCCTCCGAGTTCGATACAAATGTATGTGTACAACAATCTTTATCCAAACAATGCAACACAATCCATAACTGAGATCTACATAGCTTAAATACTACATTAGTCGTGTTACTGGCATTTATCGTCCTCCCATCATCGCTCCCATCAGAGCACCTGTTACAGCTCCTCGCGCCATATTTCGTTGTACACTGTAAGGACCTGTAAGCACTGGATTTAGGAATCATCCTGTTGATGATAAAATGTGGAAAAGCGGATTGAAATCGCCGTTAAGCTCGAGTTTATCTATCAGAAGCAATATTTATGACCCATATGAGAACCTAGAACTACTGCTTGAAATGAGCAAACACGTTCGTTCCAGGGGTCGAGGAAGTGCAAGGGAAAACCTCAGTTGAGAGCGGAAATTTCATTCACCAGTTTCCACAATTAAAACTGTTGTAAGACCCCTGCCTTTACATTTTTCTATAAACTCGCGCTAGACAGAAATAGAAACTCACCATACATACCCATACCGGGACCCATCATCATCGGTCCCATTGGCCTCATCATTCCCATTGGCCCGAGGCCCATTGGCCCCATCATCATTGGATGCATCATTTGACCCCAAACTGATGTAAAGCAGATGACAACAAGCAGAGTCAGCAGAAATCTGTGCATGCTCTGTAAGAGAATCTTTCAAAGTTTGAATAGAAGGGTAAAAAGAATTATGAAAATACAACAAAAAGCCTTCCTGAGGTCGGGACGTTAAAATAACAATAATAACTCCTCACAAAAACCAGTTCGATTCGTTACAGATTACGACACAGGCTTCAAATTGTTAGGGCCACAGAGCGTAGATGAACATCAATATACTGCGTAAAATTGATCATTAGACCCCTAGATAGAAAGTCAAAAAGGCTAAAAAGCGCACGTGAGAGCAAAGAGCTGAGCAACTGATGGAAATTACTTAAGGCACTTTTTTAACCAAGTGAAATCTCACCCATTTTCTGTGTAGAAAATTTTTCGTTCAATGAAAAAAAACGTGATCAGTCAGTTTTGAACTCTGGTACCTAAGGAATCAAGGAAAAATGAAGAAAAATGTGTGAAGCATGGAAAAATTCAACTTCGGCGATAGACACCTTCGTTGGCGGTATCTCAAAGGAGCGTTGCCATCGTAAGAAGTAAGTACGAATACGAAATCAACTATTATAAGGTCTAATCCGTGGATCACGATCCTGGAATTTTGTCTTTCCATATCAGCCTTTGAAGGGCCTAACGGCCTGCAACCAAGACAAAGGAAAGGATACACTGACGGTTACAGTACGTCAAAATGTGTACCCATCATTCTTATCATCAAAAACGGACTAAGCTCACCAGAAAAGGAAAATGAGAAGAAGACTACAGACGGGAAGAGAGGAAAGAGGTGGGAAGGATAGACAATGGGAGCGAATGTGCCTTATAGAACTAGCATCAGTGAGATCATCCATCCGCAGCTATTAGGGCAAATTATCGCCTTCTTTTATATGCGAATAAGGGCAGGCAGATAATCACCAGTCTAAGCGCCTTAGAAATTGAAGTGCAGTTCAATGAATGAGAATCAACGAAGTCAGACAGCCACATATTCAACACTGGCGGAAGGTTTTCAAACAACTTTTTGATTTTTTCGCCTCCACGAGTCAACTTGAGGGCTATCGATATTACTGTAACAGAAACTTCGTTGTTAAGGCTACCAGTTTTTTCAGTTCTCGGCTGTACAACGACACCTAACTTTTTTCAAAAAAAGACAGGAATAACTCACTGGTGGAAACGCTTTCAGAAGAGAGGATAAGGTGTGTATAGAAATGCGAGCCTTTTCTTGTCAAGAAATGGATGTGGTAATGGCCAAAGATCAGCCTTTTTATAGGGATGAGTACGGTCTGGTGACCTTGCACCACAAATGCCAGAAATACTCGGAGCGACGCTTCCACTATGGCCTGGCGACCTGGAGGCCATTGTCACCGCAAACACATTATAGTGACACCACTTGAACAGCACCTATGAATAGAGACCGTCACAGTATCGATATCAAATACTCAAGCGGGACCATTCAAGCGGGATTCGGCAATAGAAGCGGTCCGAAGAAGGAGTTTGTACAAACAACCTAAAGTTTCACTTGCACTTATCTCCAGAAGGAAATCAGAATCGGATCTTGCACAAGCCAATCTGCCAAGCCTTTGGATTGAAACACTGATGATTGAGAGGGTTATAACATCTCTTTTAAATATCGAAATGTTCTCCATTTTGGACATCGAATTGAAACCGTGCGCAAAATCAAGACGTGCAATACTTGCCTCCTTCCATACTTAAAGGCGATCAAAATGAATATCAAGGCCAAAATTGCTAGAGTCTTCGTCTAGTTTAGCTTAATCTTCTTAACAGGGCTCACATATCAGTGTCAGTTAAAAAAATTACAGAGGCCAAGGTGCCCGCCCTATGCAAATACCTCCCAAAAATCCAACCCCTGCTGCCCCTGTCATCTATGGGGCCGTACAACGACACATAAGAAGAAAGCCCATGAACATAAGATTGGAAATATGAAAAAGGGAGAGGACGGCCGCATGTTTCAGCCTCTATTACTTCTCATCCGATTATCTAGTATAATTAGAAGCAGCCAATTAATTGAAGTCCCCTCATAGAGACATTTTCTCGTTGAAAACCAAACTAAGGCAAAGAATACTCTTGTGGGCTCAGTGGACCTTCAGGAAAGGATAGAATTGAGCAAAACAATTATTACAATTGTAGACTAGAAGTCTCGTGAAATAACAGTAAGCGAAGAATGACGATTTGTTGGACCTTGCTTATTCAAAACAAACAATTAATTTCAACTAATTAAATTAATTTCTGACAAACACGTGTCAACTATTGATGCCATATACGCGAGCCTCTCAGTCATGCATTAGGACATCTATATCAGTTAAACATGAAAGTACGAGATGACGAGGACTCTGTTCCTCGGCGAAGAATCCGATTTCTTTTAAGCGGATCTCATCATATGTAATTCCAGAACACTGAGAAAGTGCTAGTCTAGCATATAAATTCTTGAACTTCGAGGATAAAGATGAGACAATGATGAATGAGGCCACTACTAATCTTCCGTGAAGAAATCCTAGATCGTATCCCGTACAGACCATCTAATTTCTTCGAAGTTGTTTAATTAGAATCAGATCATTTGTGAAGGAAATAATCTCACAAACACATATGTGGCACCTGTGCAATTGAATTTGTGGTTTATCCCAAAAATTAGTGTCGTTTCGAGACATACAGAGGTTTAGCAAAAAAGGTTTATGATTATGTTGCTGATTTGTCCCAGAAAACAAGGTAGCATCATCAATAGTCCAGAAACACGACGTGCATTTGGCTTTTATCGAGTTCAAGAGAGCAATGAAAGATGTGTTCTGCTAGGCTGGCATGCTTTCAACCATGCTTAATCGGCGTTAAACATATCTATGAAAGAAGAGGAACGTCAAAAATAAAAACAGCCTCTTCGCTCTTTTCCGTGCTGGTTCAGCTAACTTTATCTAATCGTAGCCGCAGAAATTCCTAAGAACTTACAGCGGGGGAGGTTCTTGACATCATCTCGGATGGCAGTAATTACATGGAAGCCTGTGCATATGACAATCGCAGAGAGCGCATAATTTTTAGGGCAGGAGAGTTTTCTTGCAAAAGCATGCTCTCAAGCCAATTGAAATCTACGTTGGACCTCTTATTATTGCTCTTGAATATGGCTCGATAGGTCTAATATCTAGCTGAATTACTTCCTACATGAAGCAATCGCGCCAAGTAAAATTCCGTCTATTAGTCCACCGACATCTCAAAATGCCAATGATATATAAGACAAAAGCATTGGAAAGGGTCCCTGATCTCTGATTCATATCACTGATTGTGAGTGAAAGACAAATGGCCGGAGTGGTCAACGCCGCTACCGGTTTTTCATAGAGAACACTTCAGCTTCTCATGACAGTTATATGGCATTGATGCAGAAAGTTAGCCTAAAGTGATATCAGGGTCGACAAAAATAGGCCAAAAAATATGGGATCTATCTTCGAATGTACGCCATGAACCAAAGAATTCTAGGCACCTGTGCAAAGAGAGTGTTTTTTGGAATTCAAGCCTCACATATCATCTACATATGTATCCATCCCAGCACTATTCTCCCGAAATCAACTCACATTTTGAATAAATTGAGAATAGTTAACAACGTATTCTCCCGAAATCAACTCACATTTTGAATAAATTGAGAATAGTTAACAACGTGGCTTTCCTCAGACAAAGACTTCTTTATTGGTTATTAAGAGCATATGATATAAAAGAAGACAATTGCTATATCGCTAAGCCAGGGGGGACGGGTACGGGAAGTAGTAAAAACATCTGTAAAGAGGTAAATTATTGTATGGTGTTTGCAAATTTTAGTTTTTTTTACTGCTTGATAGCAAGCATCTCATTCAGTGAGGGCTCTATCTCATTCGAGGATCTTTAGCCGATGACGAGGCTACGTAGCGAGATCCCAGGATCGAGGTTCGAATCCCAGAAAAAGGCACCGGTACTTTCCCGGAGACGCAGGTGGTCATTCAGTGAGGGCTCTATCTCATTCGAGGATCTTTAGCCGATGACGAGGCTACGTAGCGAGATCCCAGGATCGAGGTTCGAATCCCAGAAAAAGGCACCGGTACTTTCCCGGAGACGCAGGTGGGTTCAGGGTACGTACTCCCTACTTCTGCTGCTCGATCATAAAAGTTGTAACGAATTTGGAGATTATGAGATGACGTGCACCTACGTAAACGGTGTGAGTAGAAAGTGCTAATAACAGTTCCAAACTGACACCATCAGGCAGTGAAAAGCTCTACCCGGTTGGGGTCTGGCAAGCATGGGTGGTAAAGATTGTAGGAACCGCCAACTTTTGTGAGGACCATGCGAAGTATTGTGATGGATGTGAGGCAAGCGATAATAAGAATAACGGAGACCATCGAACTTTTTTACCATAAGAGTAAGGGAGTTTATCAGACATTGGTCGACGGGCTCCTCTTCTTTTTTTTTGCAAAGTCGAAATTACTGCCTAGGAACGTCACAGCGATTTCAGTGGGATTTGTGACACGCGACGCACTTCAGACTTTTTTGGTGGGCATTAAGCTATTGCCCCTTTTCTCACGTCTTATGTGAACGCTTTGATCAGAAATCTCCAATTTTCCGCCTTTCTCAATTCCCAGTTACATTAATCGGCCTGACACACAACCTCGAGATTCGTTCTGGAGAATGATGCCGTGCTTCTAGATTCAGGGTTCTGTATGAACTCTCCCGAAGAGTTCTGAAGAAACAAACAAACAGAAGGTGCGGTTCAAGACAAGCATGCTCGATGAAGCGACGCAAATGAAAATGTGATTTCTGAGCAACACAACGAAGTGCTTCCTTCACGAATTAGATCGGAGATCACACAATCACTTTTCAGAGAAATTATGAAAGGAAACCCTTAGTTATCAATCTACCGCTTTCCCATTGGAGCTTTTTGAAAAATCACATGAAAACAGGTTCCATTGGACCGGTAAATGCCCCATTGGGACCACTTCTCCACGAAACATCATTCCAATTATTTGTTGAGCCTTATTTTTCTTTTCTTTACTGCTTCATGACATTCCTAACAATTC